TTATCATAACAAGTGTTGGTGCTTCTGCGTTTCATTTTCCATCCATTTTGGCGGCATAAGACGTCGTAGGGGTGACCACAGAATTCATGAAGTTATTCTAAGAACTGGCTGGTATGTAGTGAACGAAAGCAGAGCTTAGCTGGCTCAAAAAAATATTTATGGTCATCCCTCGAAACGACCACCAAGGTCAGTACGATAAAATGGAGTCAACTGGAGCGATAATACATGAAGGAATGAGTTCTTTTCCCTCCCCCACACACACCCGTATCGTCACAGGGGGTGACCACAGTGTTCTGCCTTAATTTGTGGCGTTTTTCTAAGAACTGGCTGCCATGTACTGTGCGAAATCAATCGATCTTGCAAGAATAAAATTTGGACATCCCTCTTCTAAGAATTCCAATTGAGTGTGTTAGTGTGGCCAGCTCAGGGCAATATGATATTATAAACACAGCACATATCACGTCTCTGCTGTTTATAACTTCATAGGAAAGAAAACACGCCGTTCATGACAGCTTGAAGGAGGAAAGTTCTACCAGAAGCAACAGGAATTTGCTGCAAGACAGGCATATGTAACGATGACTTAGCGCTCTTAAACTCGTGTGTCATTAAATATAGTTCTCCTGACAACAGGCCAGCGAAAAATCTAACAATCTACAGCAAAACCATCAATTATTATGGGCGTTATAACATAGGTGTGCAGCTGGACGAAACATTGACGTCGAACCCCCCCAGACGATTTAAATACCTCGACGAAACATACACGTCAAACCACGCTGAACGGTTAGAGGAGGCCACTCGACATCACTGGCTGACTTCCTCTAATACGATAGTGAGGTGTCGTGTGTGCTCTTCGCGTGGGAAACGGGGTTACATCCGGACAAAGTGCACGAATTGTGATGTCGGACTCTGCATTCAATTAGATGCAACTTTCAGTTAGATGACACAGGAGGGAAGACTGTCTGCTTATAAAGCGGGTGCCCAAAAATAATGTAAGTAGAACAAGAATTTCTATCTTAAAATTAGATTTTAAAACACTGTTCACACGTGTG